TTATACTTTCATACATTCGGATAGGGCTGGTTGTGTTAGTAGAGGAGGAGGTGTTGCACTGTTTGTAAAAGATGATATAACATGCACCGTTCGGGATGATATCTTTAACACCTATGATAATTCAACTTGTGAATATTTATTTGTTGACATTACACTAGGACCTACTTTAAAATACACAGTTGGAGTCATTTATAGAAAGCCAAATTCAGATCTTGATGTTTTTTTCAAATTTTATAATGAACTACTACTTCGTGTATCCCGTCGCAGTTTAATAATTACAGGCGATTTTAACATAGATCTTTCAAACTTAACGAACAATAAAAGTGCAAATACATTTGTAAATTTAAACTGCTCATTTGGTTTATTAAAGTTGATTACAACTCCCACTCGTATTACAGTTAACTCTGCAACATTAATCGACAATATAATTACCAACCTTACTGAATCCAAATGTACGAGCGGAACAATTTGTACTGATGTAACAGATCATTTACCTGTATTCTCCCTTTTCAATATAGATAATTATGAAAGACATAGGAAAACGATTCAAACTTGTACTCGGAAAATCTCAAACGAAAATATTGCAGCATTATTAGGTGAATTGTATAGAATAGATTGGACTTTTTTAAACAACCTTCAGGATATAGAACAGATGTACGATACATTTATATCGGTGATAACCACTGCATACAACAAATGTTTACCTTTGGTACCAAATAAGTCTAAACGATTGAAAATCAGAAAGCCTTGGATAAATAAAAGTTTGATACGGTGTATTCAAAAGAAAAATAAACTTTACAAAAAATTTATACATAATAGGTCTTTTGTAAATGAAAATAAATTCAAATCTTACAGGAATAAAGTGAATAATATGTTAAGAAAGGCAAAAAAAACACTACTTTTGTTTAAAATTTGAAAATTCGAAAAATGATATTAAAGATACATGGAAAACTATCAATACCCTTTTAAATAAATCAAAACCCAAATTACCCACATATATTATGAAGGATGGTAAAATGGTTGAAAATGATCAATCTATTGCAGATGAATTTAATTCCTATTTTATTTCCTCATGTTCTGGGTTTGATGCAAATAATCGCCTTGCCCAAGTTAATACCATTTCTCACACAGATTACCTACATGTCCCAACTTCTTCTTCAATATTTTTTAAACCTATATCACAAAATGAATTGATTGAAGTGTGTAAATCATTAAGAAATACAAAATCTTGTGGATATGATAACATAGGTTGCAATGTACTCAAACAAATCATTCATGCTATTGTAAAACCATTGGTCTACATTTTTAATATATCACTGTCAACTGGTACGTTTCCAAGCAAACTTAAAATTGCTAAGATTATTCCCGTTTTTAAAAAAGACGACCGTCATTCATTAAAAAATTATCGACCAATATCTTTGTTACCTTGTATATCTAAATTACTAGAAAAATGTGTTTATAATCGATTGTATAGTTTTCTTTCTAAACATAATATACTTACTGATTGTCAATTTGGATTTCGACGTAATCATTCCACAACCCATGCTTTAATTGATTTGCAGGATAAAGTGACTTTAGCAATGGAAAAAAATAATTTTTGTATCGGAATATTTATGGATTTATCAAAAGCATTTGATATAGTTGATCATTCAATTCTCTTGTCCAAATTGAACTTTTATGGTGTACGTGGAAACCCTCTTAATTTTTTTAAAAGTTATTTATGCAATCGACGTCAATTTACTATGTATAATAATAATGCTTCTGATTTTGCAGACATAACACACGGAGTTCCTCAGGGATCTATACTTGGCCCTTTGCTTTTTTTGATATATATTAATGACTTAATTCAATCTTCTCATATCATGCAGTATATTATGTATGCAGATGACACAACTCTTATTTTTTCACAACCTGATTTAAATAATGTAGAGCACGAGGTCAACAAAGAATTAGACAAGGTTTCAACTTGGTTCAAAGCTAATAAATTGATAGTAAATCTTTCTAAAACAAACTTTTGTATATTTCACAATAAGAGTAAAAATGTTTCCAATGTACTAGATAAGGTAACTTTAAATATTGATACTACATCTATATCAAAATTAAATGTTGTAAATTTCCTTGGAGTATCCGTAGATAACAACCTTCGTTGGGATTCCCACATCGATAATGTTATAAGCAAGGTATCAAAATCTATTGGTGTTTTATATAAATTAAAATTTCATGTACCATTTCCCATTTTATTCACTTTGTACAACTCACTTATATTACCTTATCTTACATATTGTATAAGTATTTGGGGAAATTCGTGTCATGGAAAAATTAATACCCTCTTCAAATTACAAAAGAAGGCTCTACGTATTTGTACAGGTAGTGATTATTATGCCCACTCTGCTCCGTTATTTCTTCGTTTAAAAACCCTAAATGTTTTTGATTTGTTCAAATACCATACTGCACTAATTGGTTTTTATTTTTTTCAAAATATACTTCCAAAAAGAATATCCTCCATATTTTCGATCAATAACCAAATTCATACTCACAATACTCGGCTTTGTAACACGTTTCATTTATGGAAAGTAAAAAGTTCATTTTCTAAAAAATCAGTAAGAAATACTTTGCCAAACATATGGAACACTCTTCCTCAAGTCCTCCGCTTTTATAAAAACAGTTCAATATTTAAAACAAAAATGAAACAGACCTTTTATTCTGAGTACCGTTAAATTTACCTTCCAAACCTTTTTGCCCCCCCCCGCCTCCAATTTTAGATTATTTCATACATATGTTTGTAGTTTTTTGTCTTTATATTGTATTTATTGCTGTATTTTGTGTTTATCGCTATATTTTGTGATATCTCGAACTCATATATGCTCAATAATATAAATAATATAAATTATAATATTCGGGGAACTTTTTATACAAAGCCACCATGGGCCTTTCCTATGTTCTCCAATTTCATTTTAAACTATTGTAATAACTGACCATTCCTTGTATGTATTTATACTTGTATGTTTATTTGCATTTGCTGTGTTTTTTATGGAAATGAAATAAATAAACGAACTTGAACTTGAACTTGAACTAATAATAATAATAATGATGGTGATGATGATGATGATGATGATAGATAATGAGCATAACAATGATAGTAACAATAATAATTACAAAACATTCATGTATAGAGAAGACATTACATAAATATATCCCAATGCATGCACTTTCAGGAAAGAAAAGAAAAGCAAAGAGAAAATATGTTACTAAGTTCCTCTTATCCGTCTATGGTCGTTCATGAAGTTGGTCACAATAATGAAAAATACAATGACAGAGAAATGAGCTTATGTTTATATTATACATTATACTCCTTCCCCTTCTCGATATTCTCCTAATTCTACTTCTATATCTTCTTTTTACTTTCCTTCTCCTTCTTCTTCTTATTAGTCCCTTTATTATTATTGGCTGCATTTTGTTAATTGATAGGTGAGCAGAATAAAAAAAAGGTGTTGAATTGGGCCCTGGGCCTAGAAAAAACAACAACTAAAAACTGAAGGAGTGATGGGGATTTGGAGTGGAAGACTTGGAACGGAAGGAAAATTATCTAAATCAAAGAAATGTCGTGATCGTGATCGTGATGATAATGATTGACTGATTGGAGATGATGATGATAGTAATGATCAAGCGCGCCGGAAGGAGTTTGGGATTTTTTTTATTTTTTATGTATTTTTATTTATTTATTTATTTATTTTATTTTATTTATTATTATTTTTATTATTATTATTATTATTATTTTTTTTTTTTTTGGGGGGGGGGGGGGGCAAACATTCCAGGGGCCCGCTCACCTTCCAGGGGCAGTGACGTAATGAGCAAAAACGTTTGGAAGGGGGAGCAGAAGAAAAATCTGCATCGCCACCACTCTTACACGTTACATGCAGACCCCGCGGAACGTTTTTCAAAGTGAGTATTAACGCTCAGGTATATAGAGCGTAAATTGGCGTGGGGTCCAGGGCCTGAGCCCCGGCAGGGGATCAGGCGGCCGAACCCCCGGAAGCTCAGGGTTTTTAGGCATTAAATTACGGTCAGATAAGCATATTTATATAACTTATTTTTGACACTGCAGGCAGGTCACTAATTGGCTGGGAGTCCAGGGGGCAGAGCCCCCTGAAGCTCAGAGGTTTTAGATATTTAACTACGGTCAGACGGCATCCAGGGATGCGACATTTGTGACATTGGCAGGTCACTTATTTTTTTCTCTCTCTTTCTTTCTTTTTCTCTGTAACATACTTTTTCAAAAAATGAGGGGGGCTCGAGCCCCGAGCCCAGCCGTTCTGCAGGCCCTGATATGAAGGCTTCTAAATAAGCATATTTTTCGCCTGACTGAAAATTTGGGAATTTCTAATTTTCCAACAAACGCATAAAAAGGTATGGCTTAACAACAAAATTGAGGAAAAAAAAACCCCGGAAAATCATTTCATTTCAGCAACATTTGTAAATCACTGGTATCGAATAAGAAATAACCCCCCCCCCCCCCCCCCACATCAGTACGCCAGCATTTGAGGGCTCATGTCTTCTTACCCCTATAACAAAAACACACACGCTTTCCCATCCTCTCACAATATTTCCACGATATCGCTATTAAAAGAACCTCCATTGATGAATATAGGCGACATGCGGAATGTTAGTAAATTTAATTCCTGTTATCTTTCATTTTCTTTGAATGGAATTTTGAATGTGATTTAATGCAGGTTTTTATTATTATTATGTTCTTTTGGGCTAAAAATACAAACCATCTTTACTCCTTTGCTGTTTTTTTTCTCTTGGAGGGGGGGGGGGGGGCGTTTTGGGGGCAAAAATGCGTTTTCCCCCACTTTTTGTTTGGGGCCGGAGGGGGGGGGGGCGGCAAGTGCCCCCCTGCCACCCCACTTCCGGCGCCTATGGTAATGATGTTGATGAGGATAATAATGGTTATGATGATGATGATGACCATGATAAAATTGCAAGCGAGGTCTGTCTTGGATCACTCGCAGCGTCTTTTGCCAAGCAACCAGTTTACTGCGCATGCGCATCTGATACTTTCAGCTCTGACGAAAAATGGCAGACAAGCGAGCCGATTCTGGTAAGTGTGTTTTAAAGTCTAAATTGTACCTACGTAGATAACGTTGTCAAGTTTTAAAATATTTATTGTTCATGAGAAAATGTGACAATGTGAGTAAGTCTGCAGATTACATGGAGCGAGGCTAGTGACCCGGACAAGTTGACCGAAATTGTATGTGCAGTCCCATGTGTTCTTATCTGTGTATTGTATTTTGGTTGGATGAATAATCTATTTATTTGAATGAAAGTTTGCATAGCCTTGCGCACACATAGTAGCATTAGTACCGCCTCTACGCTATAGATCTGCACCTCAAACTGGAGCTATCAGTAAAGAATTATGCAAACTTCTTGTATGGTTTATATTATGGTAGATTATTTACACGCATGCACGATACTGTAACTGAGACTGAGTAGATCTAGGTCTAGAGTAGACTACTGTCTGAGCGACGACGTCGACATCAAACTAAGCCCTAAACGGAGGCTTCCCGATGTCAGATGTGATCCAAATTCAGGTGGAAAATGCGATATATGATTATGATTAAAATTAGTAAAAAATTGGGCTAAAATTCCTTCGCTAAGAATGGATATGAAACTGCTAAAAAAAATACACAAAGTAGAGTAAAGGAGCCGGTAATCGGCCAGCTCCAGTTTTTGGCCGATTGGTTGGATGCAAGGTAAAATCCCTCTAAAATACATCGCATAATAGCATAACACATATCCCACACACACCATACCATGCCAGTGTCACTGAAGAACCACATTTGCAATGAAAAATATATCCTAAAATATCACATTTTAGCGATGTAATCGGCGGTCCTGCTACCCGAATCTGAAAAATTGAGTATCTTACGCGTGTCTGTAAGAAATATGGGTACCATAAAATGAGCTTTATTTCAAGTATTTTTCAGATTTAGAGCCCGATTTTGTGCTAGTCGCAAGCTAAAAAGTATCTCCTCGCATGTATTAAATCAATGCAGCCGCACACCGCAACGCACACACGATATCTCTGTCTAATTCAGATTCCAATATCCGATCACCGCAGTACTAGTTTTCGGCCTGGCGAGCTCCGGGGAGCTCCGGTGTGGGATATCTTCTCCGCCCGTTAGTGCTATAGATCAGCGCGGAAACGCACGGTGCGTGCGCGCGCTTCCTATTGACTTTGTACATGCGGCCGAAAACTGGTACGCTATGCCGAAAACTGACTCCGAAACAGTGAAAATTGAAATGAATATTGTCATGGCAATTCGTGATTTTTTTCTGGGATTCTTGTTTTGTTTAAATAATAATAATATTTGCTTCATGATTTGAACAAAAAATGATAACAAATAGGAAGTGAAGGGTCCAAAAAATAGGATTTTGTCTTAAGTGGCCGAAAAACCGGCTCCTTTACTCTACACTAGCGCCATGATGACACCTAAATTATAAATAAATAGTGAAATACAATCTTTTCAACTTACCGATGATAGAATTTTTGTTGTTGAAAATTAAATATCAAAACGCGAGTCCACTGTCAAACTTTTCGATCAACCACTTTGTATTCATTGTGCATTTATTTGTTGTCACCGTGTATGCGCGCTGAATCTTCATGTAAAATCGTTTACACAAATTAGATCGTAATGCGTAACGAGACACGCCAGAGGAAAATCAGCGGCGTTTTTAAAAGTTTTTCTACATGATTTTGAATCAGCTGGAAATTACAAGCGGTGTACACGAAAGAAGCTGTTTTTGTAGAACACGATTTTCCTTTGCCACTTTGATGACAGTATTGATTATTTTAGTGTAAATATGCAGGGAGTGTCAATGCATTTAGATTAAAAATCCTGTGAAAACTTGAACTGCCATTTAACTATGAACATCTTTCTAAGATTGTACCACACACACATACAAAAATGACACTTTTGTGAATCAGAACAGTTTGTACAATCTGTGAATGTTTCATACAGACAGAATTATCGGTATTCATGGTATGTCTATTAATATCTGTATTTTTGTTAACACACAGGCTCTGAAAGTGATGCTGATGATGCAGTTGTTGGCAATCTTAATAAGTTCACTGTACTCCCACTTGGATACAGTGGCAAACCTAAACCTGGACATCTCATCTTTGATGCATGTTTTGAATGTGGTGAGTGTTTTTTAATTTGTTTTCATTCTTTTTCAGGAGATTTAGGTAGTATTCAATCATCAATTTTAAACATGTAATTATGATAGGACTCTATGTTCAGTTGAGCACATCAGCAGAGTAATATAGACATGCAGATGGTTGAGCTAACCAATAGAATTCTAACATTTAATCCTGTTTCTATATCTGCATTAGCCCTTTACTATGATTTTTCCTAAGTTTACAATTGTTATATCCAAGCCATCCATTATGTATGATTAACAATTCAGAATGGCTGCAAACCATTCCTTCTTCAAGGTTTGCATAACTCTAGACATCTGCAATTATTCCTATGTCCAAGAATATTTTAGTAATGGTCTCAAGTGTTCTTTGTTGTTGTTGTTTTGTAGCCACTGGTAATGTTTCCAACATTCTTATGGCAAAGAGGAGGAAATAAACTATAGATCCAAAAGAAAAGCGAAAGAGAATCTCTATCTTGCCAATTGGCGTAAGCGAGAGTTAATGGTAATAACTGCATGGTGATTTGTCAAGTTAATGTCCAAATATCAATAACAATGTTGGTATAGTTTGGACTTTACAAACATACATTTGTCTATGGACTTTGTGTACTGACATACTGGCATTTGCAGGTCTGTTTCTTTTCTTTGAGTGATGGGCAGATCTTTTTGATAATGAAGACAAAAAGAGACTTCCTGAATGAAATGTTCAAAAGAGAGATAATGTCAAGTAGTAAATAACCAGAGAACTTTATATCCATTGTTGTGGGCCCTTTGACAGTACTGAGCTAATACTTCACACCATTTCTTTGTTGGATATGGAATATAAAGACCAGGGAGCTTTAGGTCTTTAGTTTGATAGGGCTTAGAATGATGATCTTGACCCTGAATAGTGGATTAGTCAGCTCTATAGAGTACTAGAGACTCATTGAATGGGTTGGGTTGGGAGGGGGTTGGACGAGGTGGCTCTATAGAGTACTAGAGACTCATTGAATGGGTTGAAGGGAGGGGATGGGGGGGGGGGGTGCTCTATAGAGTACTAGATTCATTGAATGGGTTGGAAGGGGGGAGGATTATGTTACACCTTTAGCTTAACTTCACAACATCATTGATTGTTTGTTTCATCAAGTCTTTATTTCAAAATAAATTGTCATACATAAATACCAGGAGCATGGTCCCATTTTGGATGCATGGCAGGTCATAAGATTTTTACAACACTATACACGAGAAAAAAACAACAACACATTTATGCAATATGATTTGCAATCATGTACAGATTATATAGTTATTCTGACCGTCCATTACTAAATGAACGAAAATATGTACCTGTACAAAGGAATATTACTTAATAAGCATTGTATGATCTGAATGTATTGTGTGTGCTGTGCATTTCACTCTTTGGGAACAAACAGTACCATAACTTGCACTTCTGTATTTTATCTTGTGCCGTATTAGACTCTGATAGAGATGTACATACATGTATTGTATTGTATTGTATTTATTAAACTTCATTGATGTACATCAATATTCTGTTTATAAATATATAATCCCTTTACAATGTAATGTAACAATCAATATTCTGTTTGGGAACGTCATATACATCATATAAGTCAATTTACAATGTAATGTAACATATCAATATTCTGTAAACATATATACCATATAAATCAATTTACAATGCAGTGTTTATAGCAAAACAGAAGGAAAATTATATCCAGTAGAAACACTCTTGTTTCCTTTAGTAATAACATGACATAATGCATAATATAATGTATCATAAAACACCCAAAGATTTAGATATATAAAACATAATAGCCTACAGCACTTTTCTAAATAAATTATAACTCATTCAATACAAAATGTACATGGAATGCCTAAAATAAATGACGTATTTTGCAAATGTAAGTGCATGACTTCACATGGGGATCAGACCAAAGATGAAATAGCAAGATGCACGCATATGCCTTTGCTGCTGTTACTAGTATGATGGGCTGCTAATTGTATTTTTAGTATCATTTTTTGAGAGATTGTAATAGGTAATGAATGAATATAAAGATCACTATAGAGCATGAGTACCTCTCAATTAGGTTGTTTGCATACATGTACATGTATGAGTGATGTATTGATATTAAAAGCTTCGCACATTTCAATCTATACTAAAATCATATAAGATCTGCCCTGTTAATAGACATGGAGAAATAAAAATATGATTTCAAACACACCATAACTCATCAATAACTTTCATTTTTTAGTGAAAAGAGATAAATCTGAATATATTTTACTGGTACTGTTTCCATCACAGGTAACCTTGGTCGTGTTGACTACATCACAGAGCATGAATACGATCTGTTTGTTAGACCCGATACCTGTAATCCTAGGTTTAGGGTCTGGTTTAACTTCACAGTGGAGAATACCAAGGCAGATCAGGTCAGTAAGATATCACAGAGTTTCAATACCCGTTTACCTTCCTAACCCAGTGTATTATCCGTACCTAAGGACCTCTTGTGGACATGATGTAGGGTGTAACAATCATTATTTTGTGAATGACAGATGTTGTTTCTTATACCATGATACTTTTCTTCAGGTAATACTGGTTGTCTTCCAGTGTTTATGAACATAAAAGAAACTGCAAGCCTCATATGTGTACATGTGTACATGTGCAAACAACTTCAAGCACTACTGGAATTTACCCAGAAAAAATTCCTGTGAAACATTTTAATAGACACTTTCCTTGGATAAACTTCTGAGAGAACAGGTTACCGGTAATGAGATTCTGAATTTGACAACATATTATTATTGTTATTTTTTAATTTTTGTTTTATTATTATTATTATTATTATTATTATTTTTTTTTTTTTTTTTTTTTTTTTTTTTTTTTGGGGGGGGGGGGGGGGGTAATAATAAAAATAATCTTTATGTCTGGTGTATGTTTATTTCATGCAAAGCTAGTGAATTTTAATCATAAATACAATGAACCAGTTTAAAAGCCTGTTTGAAATTGCAAATTGATTACACATTTTTAAAGCCCAATGATGTTTTATGTTTTATGTTTGCTTCATGTAAAGAAAATTGAACCTTGATGGAAACTTACTAGTTTTTAAGAGTACTGGTATACACAGAAAACACTTCATGAGATTTGAAGAAAAAGCATATTGCCCATTTTTTATATGGTCTGAAAGTTGCCTGTGACTGTTTCATTTTTTGAAGGAAAAATATTTGGGGCTATTGAATATGGTCTTAAATTTGCTTGTAATTGTTTTATTTTGCAGCGTGTGATATTCAACATTGTTAACTTCAGCAAGACGAAGAGCTTGTACAGAGAGGGCATGGCACCGATGGTTAAATCATCAAGTAGAACAAGATGGTAAGGTCAAAGGCCATTGCATTATCTTGAACTTATGTCGTTGATACATGTAGGTTATTCTGTATTATTATTAATAATAATAATAATATTACATAAGATTTGTATGGCCCCAAGTCCACTTATCAAGGCGCAGCTTGTGCAAAAGATGAAATACATGATAATAACAAAAGTGTAACAGAAAAGGTACAGACATGAACATACCTGCCAACCACCCCGATTTAGGCGGAGTTTCTCCGCATTTTTCATACCAACTCCGAATTCCGAGTGCATGCATCAAAACTCCGATTTTTTTAATTTTAATTTTTTTTTTTTTTTTTTTTTTTTTTTTTTAAATAATTTTTTTAAAATTAATATTTTGTGTGTGCGTCCGCCATTTTCAATGGCAAAATGTCCATTCTGTCCTGTAAAGTATCCTACAAGCATCTCACATCAGCAATTTGGGGATGTTTATTCATACCTGCGTACAGCCCACGTGTATTTATATTACATGTGCAGTCAGGGGCGTACGCAGGATTTTTTCAAGGGGGGGGGGGGGGGTTTAAAATCGGGCCCAAAATATTTTGCTCCCGAAAAATTTAAAATCGCGCCGGCCGAAAAGTCGCTCAGGGGGGGGGGGGGGGGGGGGGGGGTAAGCGGACACTTTTTTTTTTTTTTTTGGTTTCGAAATTTGAAAATTTGACATTTTTCTTCGTTGGGGGGGGGGGGTAAGGTCACCTTTTTTAGGTTAGCCATGGGCATATATATATATATATATATATATATATATATTTTTATTTTTATTTTTTTAAATATTTTTTTTAACTAATAAAAAAAAAAAAAAAAAAAAAAAACCAAAGGGGGGGGGGGGGGTTAGGTTTTTTTTAGGGGGGGGGGGGTTTACACACATAAAAATACCAAAGGGGGGGTTTGAACCCCCAAACCCCCCCCCCCCCCTGCGTACGCCCCTGTGTGCAGTTGATACGCCGTGCATAAACACTGTATACATTGGCGTGTTTTCTTCAATGCTTGTGCGATGACTGCGATCGTGGAAGCTTGTTATTTACGGGACTTCCTCAGATTTATTTTGGATTACTACTACTATATACCTTTGCAAAATAGGGCTCCTAACTGAGGTGGGTAGTGAAACATGTAGTTTTGTGAGTGTTCACATTTCAAAAATTGTTTATGTGTGGGGCGAAAAGGTTGAAGGAAAAGGCCCATTTGCACCATTAAAATGGAGAGAAAAAAAAATAGACCCTAAAGTGCTGTGTACCCCCCCCCCCCCCCAATCTACGGGCTACTACCCCAATCCTTCGGTGGTTCGCGACCTCGTAGTCCATCCAGAAAAATTTACTCCTAATTTCTCTTGTCTCAGGTTGGCAGGTATGCATGAAGGTACTGGTTATCAATTATAGGCTAAACAGATATTTCTTAAGATTATTTTTTAACACTTCACCAGAACTGCTATGTTTAATCCATTTAAGGAGACTTATTCCATAAAGACGGCCCAGCATGACATAGGTTGGCTCCCCCCACCTTGTTTTAACCCTAGGAATAACAAGTAAGCCAGAGTATTGATAACGCAACTGTCTAGACGGAATGTAATGCTTGATTAAGCTGTAGGAAAACCTATTATCAATGTACATGTACTTAAGACTTAAGTAGTGAAAAAGTATTGTAATATATGTACCTAATATGTTGTATACATTGTGTTACATATTGTAAAGTTTTCTTTTTTTGTGTCTCCTGTGTATTGTGTTATTGTGCTTTTTTGTGTATCGGCCTTTTATCTTATTTTGTAACCTCAATTGAACTGAGGTAATTTTATAGAATGGTCAAGAATGGTAAATACATAGCCACTTACTGACTTGAAGGAGATGGTCTGTTTGTCCACCCCTCCACAAAACCAAGAAGTGCTCAACATCAAGACAGATAAATAGAAAAGAATATTCAATTACGGTAATAATTAGAATGTTAGGTACTTGGTTTGAAGACCAATTAGGAGATTTGGTGCTTGAGAGTTGACTGGATACTTGTAATTGAAATGAAGTGAGTAGGAAACACAGACAAGATGGCTGCCCTATCTCTCAGCTGGAGAGCAAGGGGGCTTCATATTGTCATCTCATCAGACATTGGTTATTAAAGATTCTCTTTTGAAGGTATTCTTGAATTCTGGTAATGATTGGAAATAAATTTATCAGTCTCAAACCTCAACATCAACATGTTCTTATTGAAATCAAAATTTACTTTTTTGTTGTTGAACATTACTTGTATAGAGAACAAATTGTGAGATGCTTTTCCTTAAATTCTTAGAAAAATAAATACAAATTTAAAGTATTGTAAATTATTTACCCCCATGTCAAAAGAGTCTAATAGTATTTTTAGAGCAACAACGGATGGCATGAAGAATACAAAGAGAATGAGATAGAGTGACAACGATAAATTAAAGATAGAAAATGAAGTATGATTGAGAGAAAGGGGGGGGGGGGGGGGGGGGGAGTAGTTAAGGTGCTACACGACAAAAATGGAAGAATTGTTATATTTGGAATGTAAATTTTAATTACATGTGTATATTTTGTATAATGTTGTTATAACTGATGCATACTGTAGGAATGAACTTTGGTTTGGAGTTGAAAAGTTGAAAAGCCAATGCTAACCCACCCTATACTCTTGGTCATCCTGAAGACACATATTTGTTTGTATGAACTCCGCTGGATGGGAGAGGGACGTTACAAAATCACATACTATATCAAATGGTAGATTTATAAGTTGATGAGTAATACAGAAGATGGCAATGGGCACATTAAGACAGAGAAGGATTAAATTTTCAACCATATAACCAATCAACCATCTTACCCATCCACCTATAATTATTGTGAGTAAAGAGAGGACTAAAGCTGTCTCTTATTTGTACTTCAGTATCTCAAATACTATATTTGTTGTTGAAAACTCACTTTGTCACTATGTTTTAAGTTAACCCAGCTGTACTGCTTGACCGTAGGCACTTAAAGGTGTTTATAATTAACCCCATGGTGCCTTCCCATCTCTCCTCTCGTTCTAAGACAATTATACATCTTTTATATATTTCTACTCTATATTCTACTATAACCAGGCTTATAAGTACCCCTGTGTTAACCATGTTCATACATGGCATCGTTTCCCATGCATTCCACTCAGTCCCTCACTGCAAGTCTGAACCCATCCACTGTAGAAGCGACTGTCATGTATACAGATTTTGCAGGGCTGGAGTGGTAGTTATATCCCTTGGTTGTGGTAGCGAGGGGAAGTGGTTCATTGAGGGCTAGAGGCAAATCACTCCAGTGCCATTATCAATCAATGCAGGATGCGTTCTCTAACAGACAAAGGCCCTTCATTGAGGCCTGGCTCCCACTTTCCTCTGCAAGATTTCACATTTATTAGGAATTAATGAATTTTTTGTTATTGGAGGCCCTCTATACATGCCAGGATGGTACGGGCGATGCGTTGATTCCATTAGTAGCTTTCAGCCTAAGTGTGATTGACATTGACTTATTAGCTGTGATTGATTGGAGGGCTAGTCTGAATCACACTCATACAAACATTAATAGCTCAAATTATGGGCAATAACTCTCAAAATATAATTTTCTGTTTGTTTGTTTGCTTTATCAGAATGTCTGTTTAAAGCAAATAGTTTCGACAGCAAGAAATTTAGAGACCATGAGACATACTTTAACTGTCAAATTATTTGAATGTGTACTGGTCTTTATCAAATATCTAGATGTATATATTTTTTGTATAAAGTTATGGATTTGCATTTACTACCAGCCCATGTGTGTTCTAGCTTGATTGTTTTCTTTATGGAAGCTGACAATATGCTGTAGAAGTATTGAATTTTAGTCTTTGGCAGTTTGTGTTCTGTAATCAGATTAAAGCAATTAATATTTGGCTAATTCAAATAATGTAAACCTGATGAGGGTCATTCATTAAAGTTGGGGCAAAAAATATGACGATGTCCATGTAACGTAGGTATGATTAGATCCCTTACTACACATGGAAGATGAAATTATCTGTTGGAAGATTTTTATGCAATGAATATAGAATCCCCTGCCAGAATTGTTCCTGTTTCAGTTGCTTTTCTTCAAAATCTTTGCTTAATACACATTTCTCTTTTTACTAGCGTTACATGGACACCATATTCATATATCATTACATAATTTTTAGGTCCATGATATTGATTAACCATGAAGCTTGAGTACTTCTGAAGATAGTTGGCTATGCTTTTTATGCAAAACTCAATTTGAGCAAACATTGTTACTGTCGATAGGAGACATAGTTTCTCACTTCTGGTATGTTACAAAAAGTGCCCCAACTTTCTGGACGGACCCATAAATAGGATGCCTATTTTCCTGAACTCAGACATCAACTCTAATGGACTTACAAAGCACCTCTTCTATTCAATACAAGTGTTATTAAGTGTAGTGTAGAAAAAACTCATAGTAAGTGAATGTTCAAGTTGCAAGTATATATCATCGTCTTTCATTGTTTTTAATTGGTTATGAATTCCAATAAATTCAGGAACTTTATTCCATTGTTTTGTGATCTATTAACAGGCAGAGGATACCATCCAAGAATGTGTACTATTACCGATGTCCAGACCACAGGAAGAACTATGTGATGTCCTTTGCTTTCTGCTTTGATAAAGGAAGTGATCTCTACCAGTTCTCCTACTGCTACCCTTACTCCTACACTCGACTACAAACATACCTCTCGGCCGTGGAGAAGAGAAGGTTGGACTTTGTCAAGAGAGAACTACTCTGCCTCAGTGTGGTAAGAACCGGTTCCTTTCCTTCATGTGGCATGTTTGTGGAGGTTCTGCCTCAGTGTGGTAAGAACAGGTTCCTTTCTTTCATGTGGCATGTTTGTGGAGGTTCTGCCTCAGTGTGGTAAGAACAGGTTCCTTTCTTTCATGAGGCATGTTTGTGGAGGTTCTGCCTCGGTGTGGTAAGAAAATGTTCATTTCCTTCATGAGGCATGTTTGTGGAGGTTCTGCCTCAGTGTGGTAAGAAAATGTTCCTTTCCTTCATGTATCATGTTTATGGAGGTTCTGCCTCAGTGTGGTAAGAACAGGTTCCTTTCTTTTATGAGGCATGTTTGTGGAGGTTCTGCCTCAGTGTGGTAAGAAAATGTTCCTTTCCTTCATGAGGCATGTTTGTGGAGGTTCTGCCTCAGTGTGGTAAGAACAGGTTCCTTTCCTTCATGTTGCATGTTTGTGGAGGTTCTGCCTCAGTGTGGTAAGAACAGGTTCCTTTCCTTCATGTTGCATGTTTGTGGAGGTTCTGCCTCAGTGTGGTAAGAACAGGTTCCTTTCCTTCATGTTGCATGTTTGTGGAGGTTCTGCCTCAGTGTGGTAAGAACAGGTTCCTTTCCTTCATGTTGCATGTTTGTGGAGGTTCTGCCTCAGTGTGGTAAGAACAGGTTCCTTTCCTTCATGTGGCATGTTTGTGGAGGTTCTGCCTCAGTGTGGTAAGAACATGTTCCTTTCCTTCATGTGGCATGTTTGTGGAGGTTCTGCCTCAGTGTGGTAAGAACAGGTTCCTTTCCTTCATGTGGCATGTTTGTGGAGGTTCTGCCTCAGTGTGGTAAGAACAGGTTCCTTTCCTTCATGTATCATGTTTGTCGAGGTTCTGCCTCAGTGTGGTAAGAACAGGTTCCTTTCCTTCATGTGGCATGTTTGTGGAGGTTCTGCCTCAGTGTGGTAAGAACAGGTTCCTTTCCTTCATGTATCATGTTTGTGGAGGTTCTGCCTCAGTGTGGTAAGAACAGGTTCCTTTCCTTCATGTGGCATGTTCGTGGAGGTTCTGCCTCAGTGTGGTAAGAACAGGTTCCTTTCCTTCATGTGGCATGTTCGTGGAGGTTCTGCCTCAGTGTGGTAAGAACAGGTTCCTTTCTTTCATGAGGCATGTTTGTGGAGGTTCTGCCTCAGTGTGGTAAGAACAGGTTCCTTTCCTTCATGTATCATGTTTGTGGAGGTTCTGCCTCAGTGTGGGAAGAACAGGTTCCTTTCCTTCATGTGGCATGTTTGTGGAGGTTCTGCCTCAGTGTGGTAAGAACAGGTTCCTTTCCTTCATGAGGCATGTTTGTGGAGGTTCTGCCTCAGTGTGGTAAGAACAGGTTCCTTTCTTTCATGTGGCATGTTTGTGGAGGTTCTGCCTCAGTGTGGTAAGAACAGGTCCTTTCCTTCATGTGGCATGTTCGTGGAGGTTCTGCCTCAGTGTGGTAAGAACAGGTTCCTTTCCTTCATGAGGCATGTTTGTGGAGGTTCTGCCTCAGTGTGGTAAGAACAGGTTCCTTTCCTTCATGAGGCATGTTTGTGGAGGTTCTGCCTCAGTGTGGTAAGAACAGGTTCCTTTCCTTCATGTGGCATGTTCGTGGAGGTTCTGCCTCAGTGTGGTAAGAACAGGTTCCTTTCCTTCATGAGGCATGTTTGTGGAGGTTCTGCCTCAGTGTGGTAAGAACAGGTTCCTTTCCTTCATGTATCATGTTTGTGGAGGTTCTGCCTCAGTGTGGTAAGAACAGGTTCCTTTCCTTCATGTGGCATGTTTGTGGAGGTTCTGCCTCAGTGTGGTAAGAACAGGTTCCTTTCCTTCATGTATCATGTTTGTGGAGGTTCTGCCTCAGTGTGGTAAGAACAGGTTCCTTTCCTTCATGAGGCATGTTTGTGGAGGTTCTGCCTCATTGTGGTAAGAACAGGTTCCTTTCCTTCATGTGGCATGTTCGTTGAGGTGTCGCGGTATAGTGGTTCGTCCATGTGACTCTCAATCCAAGGGTCGAGGGTTTGAATCTCAGCCCAGCACTAACATTCTTTAGCAAGATATTAATCCACATTTGCCACTCTCCACCCAGGTGTAAATGCATACCCTATAGGATGTGAAAGTCATTCTCGTTTGCTAAGCATTGTGAGTGTGTGATAATTGCTAAATAGCGCATGGCTTGAATGCTCCTTGTTCTCCAACGTGATGAGATACAACGCCAATGTCTTGAGTGCTATATAAACCCAAAATATTATTGTTATTATCATATTGTCTGCTAAAAGCCAGTAATGGGAAGTAAATATTTAGAATGCTGAAAAATTTAACATTCCTCATCCTTTCTTTTAGAAACTTAATCCTGTTTCTTATTTCATCAGGACAAACCTTGTGTTGTTAAATTGGCAGTGCCTTTGTATGCACTTACATGTAGGACTATATTGGTAATTCATAGGATTAACAAGTCATTCAAAAAGTCCTTTTTAGATTGAAATGATAGTACCGTAGGCAATAGAGGATGGTAAACCAGAAAGCTTAATAAAGGCATATTACATCTGATTTAGTCAGTGTAATGCATGTATTGTAGCTCGAGAGGTTTTCTAAGCAGTGTGCACCCGTTAAATCTCAACCCCAGGCATGTAGAAAGCAAGAAGCCAATCTGACTGCAGAGCTGTTAATAGCTAGCACAAGACCTCAAGTCATAAACAAATGTGGCTTGCACGCTTCATTGAAACAAAGAGATTTAATTGAGAATGATGAATTAGATTGGATGGGTAGCGATGCAGGGAAGAACACACTATTCTTGATTTGCTTTGCTTCATCTTCAATGGAGGGTGACTGATAAATGAGGCCGTAGGCTCTCTTTAGATATGGACAAACTTTCTATTTGATGGAAGAGAGTGGATTCTCTGAAGAGAGTGTTAGAATCAGCAGCTTGAAGATGAAATGCATGATATGAGCTGAGAGGTACAGGACAGTGACATCATGGTGTAATCAAAGTATTTTGGTCTAAATGTAAGATTCAATTTCTTGGAATAAAGACTGTAGAGCTTGTGTATTGGCAAAGTATTAAGTGATGTCCAAATGCATGGATATTGAAGATCAAGGTCCATATTCTATTAATTCTGTTTTAAACCCAATCTTGGGTCTTAGATCACTTTTAACGAAGGAAAACTTAGATTTCAGATTAACTTTCCTTGTTAAACCTGAATTGAACAAAAGCTTAAACCTCTGAAGAACCATGCATGCAGGAATGATTATTGTCTTCAGCGAATGTTTCATGGGCATTTTAAATAAGAGAAGGGATGTGGACTTATACACAATATACAGGTGGTATATTATGATCTTTAGATAATTTTTTTCCTTCAATAATGAATTATCTCAAAGTGTAAATTTTGTAGAGGGGTGACCATGATTTGTTCATCCCTTGAGAGACCAATGACAGTAAACGGTAAGAGCAAACAGTAGCATGAAAGAACGGCCTAGCTGCCATAATGAAGTCAAACTTAAAGTCGATCTTAGTCTTTGTGAAACACCCCCTGATATTTATAGCGAAACATGAACAATAGAGGCATAAGTAATGAACTTCATTTTAGAAAATTATGAATATCTTGAAATAGCAAAAACATTAACTAACTGGTAGTCTAATTCCCTGATTCAGATTAATGAACAAACACTATGTAAATGTAGAGTGTAGATTGTATAGCCTGTCATTACCAGGCAGTGATTGCATTGTGAATAGTAGAGTACTCATACAAAGGCTTGAAGTAGGACAAGGTTGTGACGAAGCCTAAAAGACAAAGGGATTGATCCCATAATGGCTAAAAGCACATCACTTTTTTGTGATGAACCAAACTTTTTGCTCCACCACTGTATAGGGAAAATCTCCATTACCAGGAGACAATGAGCAAGCAAATTGGAAAGATGTGGCCTAGATTGGAAACTGATTTAGAACTAATTGATCCTGACAAAGCATGATTCACATTGAGATTATGAAATATGAACAAGCTTTGCAAAGGTTAATTTGATTAAGAGATCAACAAGGAGCTAGCATAAACATTTATCATAGTTTTGATGAGAAATTTATAAAATTTTAATAAATAGGAAGTTGATTTTGTATGAAAGGTGATTGATGAGTACATGAATGAGAGAGAATAGAGCCGTGCTTTTCATTTCTGTTTGGTTGAATCTATCGGTTGTATCTTTCTAATGAAAATGTGAAACCTAAAAAGTTAAGATGTAACAGAGAGAGAGAGAGAGAGAGAGAGAGAGAGAGAAAGGGGGGAGAAGATTAAGAGAGAATTAGTGAGTGAGAGAAAGAAAGAGAGAGGGATAGGGACAGACAGACAGAGAGGGGGGAAATAAAGAGAGAGCACAAAGAGAGTGAGAGATAGAGAGAGAGAGAGAGAGAGAGAGAGAGGGTGAGATACTTAAGGTAGTGAGATAGGGATGGTGACAGAAAGACAAAGAAAGATGATAAAGATACATGTACATTATAAAAGGATCATATACAGGACTTACAAGAGGACATGCATAATTTATAATTTTCTCAGGAAAAAAAGTGATGTTAACTTTTTTCAACATGTTGAAAAGGTGTAAACATTTCAACAAAAACACACACACAAACACACCGACACACGATGTATAACAATATTATGCAATATAAGTGAACATACATGTAGTTGTGCAGAAAGTGTGCTTCTCCTGCTCATTCACCTACATCTAATATACTTTCTAGGGCTGTGAATGGGAAGTTATTGAACAGAATCACTAAATGTGGGCCATTATGGTGATTAGGTTGAACATCAGGTGAATTCTTGAAATGTCAATGCTATTGGTTTACCAAGGTGAGGTGTAAGAACATGTCTGGACTCTATACAGAACTTCTTATAACTTGAAAAACAAAACTCTCAAGTTGCTCTTAAATATTCAAAGTCACTCCTGAGTGGCAATAGAGATAGGGAAATATTTCAAGTCCATACCTGAGTTTCAGAAAAATAGTATTGAGAATGCAGTACCCTC